GAAACTGACTGATCATAGAGAGCTTTTGTGGATGATATTTGATCTGGAATTGCTTGCAAAGAATGGCGAGCGTGGTTGATGGGAACAGAAGAACCAGTTAAGATGTTTTCGGATCACTCAAATTTAGTTTATTTCAAAACCGCTAAGTACTTATCTCCACAACAAGCTTGCTGGGCTTTGTTTATTGATAATTTTAATATGTTAGGCCCTGATTATAAACGGTTTTTTGAAATATATTCAAAAGTTTTTGAAAATTATTCCAACTTTGTTTTTTTTTTCTTTCAAAAACCCACTCAAAATATTTCAAACCAGCTCCGGAGGTGGTTTGAGATCTCAAAAACTGCATTTTACAAAACAATACAGAAGTTGGGTGGGTGTTGGGCTGTATGGTATCAAAACTCATACAGACTGGCCAATTGTAAAACTCACGACACTTAGGACACCTCGGACTGTCATCATCCACCAGACCTTGCACCCAACGCAACAAACCCAGACCCCTGGGCCAGGGAAAGGATTGTGTTCAACACCGATGCGGCCTCGGAGCTTGTTGAGTTTGTAGATTGCATGCGAGCTGAGTATCATGAGAAAATGGAGAAGATCCCTGGATATGTCCCATGGTTGACTTACTTCAAGAACAACCAAGAACAGCAAGCCAATTACCCCCTCTTACACGGCTGAGATCCTGACCTCATCCTGTGCCAATATGAAAACCTGACCATAACTCTTAAATATTGCCAACAATTGTCACACATGAAATCCTGTTGCCCATTGGCCTTGACTCTTCCCAATGCATGTAGTAGATTTATTGTCCAATTCAGGGGAAATGAATGCATGGCTTGCTTCTCAATCTAATAACAAGCGACCCATATTTAAAGCAGCAGTTTTCCTGTTCCTCACCCCCTGTGATCAAAGTCAGACCTAATACAGGCCCCCCTGGCCCAGGGGTTTATAAGTGCTTGAATTATTTGAGTTGGTTTTGAAAAAATTTTGAACTTCTTTTTGATTTCTTTTTGGTTTTTAATTACTTTTCAAATAAAAAAGCTGAAATCCAAAAACTTGGTTTATAATCAGGGCCTTAATATATCATGTTTCAGGTAAGAAGAATCCCACTGATGGACCTAGTTGTCGTGAGGATTTGGTAGGTGAAAAGAAGCATGTTTTGGAGGCCAAGGCAATTGTTGATTGAATGGTTGTCGTTGATCAAGCGTGTGATGAAATTGGTGAATCTGTCACAGTAGGGCTTCATGGAATTCATAATTTATCTTCTCAACGGCCGATGTAAGACTCAAAAAGTGGTTGTAAGACCCTTTTTGCTGAATGGAGAAGGGGATGGTGGAGGTGCAAGCTCTGCCCTTCTATACTATCAGATAACAAGACCCACCAAGCTCAGCTTGGCAAGTTTTAATCAAGTGATAGGGTAAGTTCAGGAATGAGTTTGTGTGATTCTGAGAAATGAGTTTAGTTCTTATTGGTGATTGGTAAGGTTCTGTAAAGGTGGTGTATCTTTGATTGAGTGGTACTAAACTGTGACTGATGAATAATACACTGAGGAGACAACAACTGGGAGGAGAGCCTCCTTATATAGAAAATAGTGAGGGAATTTAGCTCCAGGGCAGCCAGTAATGAGTGATTTTGGCTGGCCTGGGCTATTACATGAGGTATTTTAGCTACATACATAAGTTGAATGAGTGAATGTGATTGGTCAGACATGTACAAGAATTGAAGTGGTGATACAAGCAGCTGAATGAGTGATTCTGATTGGTCAGGTTCTGATGTGTTTACAAGTGAGTGTGGTGGTGTAAGCTGCAGCTGTCATGCATGGAAAATACACTAATTTAGGCTGTAGGTATGATGTAATATGTAGAAGTGAAATGTAAAGAGTATAGAAGTATGTAAATGAGTGTATATGTAAATGAGTGTGTACTGTACTGAGGGTGTCTGTGTAGCTTGAGGTGTGTAATTGGGTGTGGTGATATGTAATGATGGGTGAAATCCTTATGATATGTAGTCCATTGTTAGGTAAGAGTTGATCCAGGTGTGTTCCAGTGACGCCTCCGTGGTGACCAAGGGTGAATTTATCCGTAGAGTTCAGTTCTTGAGCCGTATGGTGTGATTTCTGAGAGTGATTGGGTGATAATATGAAGAAAATATATATATAAGAAAAGAAAAGGAAAAAACTTTGAATTTCCCATTTTTGACTACCACACCGAATAAAGCATTATTGGATTATTTTGCAAAACATTATGTTGAAGGGGAATTTAAGGGTAAGGATATACGCCTTGTGGTTGAATTGTGTTTTTATTGCAATAGAATTTTGTTTCCAGCAACGTTAAGGGTAAAGATGTTGCAGATGTATCATGACGCACCAACGGTTGGACTTCCAGGTGTGGCTTGGACTTTTTCAACTTTGATGAGGAAGTTTTCTTGGCCATTTGTTGCGAAGTCGGTTACTAATTTTGTTAGATATTGTGATTCTTGTCAGAGAGTGAAGGCTTGGCGACAAGCTAAGGATGGTCAATTGGTTCCAATAGTGGCGGGCCCTAAACCTTGGAGTACAATAGGTATGTACATGATAGTAAATTTACCTCTGTCAGGAGTTTTTGATTCAATTTTAGTAGTAATTGATCTTTTGAGCAAGCTGACTCATTTTATTCCATGTAAAGAGGAATTGTCGTCGGCTGTTTTGGCTAATCTATTTTGCAAGAATATCTTTCATTTGAATGGGTTGCCAGATCAAATAGTCTCTGATAGAGGAGCTACATTTGTCAGTGAGTTTTAGAAATCTCTAATGACGTCTTTGAACATTCAGTCTTCTTTGTCAACAGCTTATCATCCACAAATGGATGGTCAGACGCAGCGCATGAATCAGGTTCTAGAAGATTATTTGTGGCATTATTGTTCCTATTATCAGGAAAATTGGGATAAATGTTTGGATACGGCGGAATTTTCAATTAATAATTTGGATTTGCCGAGTTTAAAAGTTTCTCCTTTTTTCTTTTCTTATGGTCATCATCCTAAATTTAATATCATGACTGAATCTTTAGGTTGCAAGGATCTGGATGAGTTTATCCTGGATTTACAGTTGACTCAAGAGACAGCAATGGAGTGTTTAGTTCAAGCCCACAAACGCCAAGCACTTTATTATAATGAACATAATAAGCCTTCTCCAGTCTATAATGAGGGTGATATGGTATTATTATTAAGGAAGTTTATTGAATCAAGTAGGCTGAATTCTAAGTTAGATTACAGGTATATTGGCCCTTTTAGAGTAAAGGGAATGGTGGGTAAGAATGTGGTGGAGTTGAATATTGCAGCGGAATATCCAAGGTTTCATCCAGTGTTTAATGTTTCATTGATAGTTCGTTATGTTAACCCAAACAGTGTTATAGATTGAGGATTGGTCGAAGGTATTAAGGACAAATATTCTAAAGATGAAGAAGTGGTTGATTGGACTCTTGTGAAGGCTGTTTTGGATGCGCTTTCTTTGAAAGTATGATTTCTTAGTGTCATGGAAAGGGTCTACGGTGGCGAATGATACATGGGTTGCTGAAGATCATTTTCCAAGCTCAATGAAGTCTTATTTACAAACGTTTAGGGAACTTCATGGAGAGTTATTTGGAGGGAAAAAGAAAAATAAGGGTAAGGCTGCTAATAAAAAACCAGTAAAAGTTAGAGTATAAGGTGAGTCTTATTTGTAACGTTTTTGATTTTCATTAACTATGGCTAGTTAATTAGTAAGAGATATCAGTAATGTATTATCTTACATTTTTTTTATGTTTACAAGTTAGTTGTTATTTGAATTCTTTATCTTTATTCAATTTCATTATTACTAGTAGTTTTCTTCATTATTTATGATTCCAGTTATTTTCTTATATATAGATTGTTGTTTCTTTGTTGTCCTTCCCTTTCCTTTCCCCATCGCGATTTCTTTGTTTTATTATCATCATTACATCTTGATCTTGGAAATATAAAGTCTTGACAACATTTCCTTATAAAGCCCCTTTCAAGAGTTTATATTTACTTTGGAAGTAAACTACCCTCTACTCTTTCATAATATAGATGGTTTATTCTCTTGAGTAAACTTATAGTCACTCAAGAAAAGAAAGTAGTAGACAGGCTCTCACATATTGGCGACAGATGAAGGATTATTTGGTGACTTTATCAAGGCCAGAAGGCTTCAATTCTAAAGAATTTCAAGCATTCAAGCGCAAGTCTGTCAATTTCTTTGGTCAGTCAGGAAGGCTCATGAAGCGTGGAAGTCCTTGTGCTTGTATTGTCATCACCATTCCGGCCAAGCAGGATTTTGTTCTTGAGAAGCTGCATGAAGAACACGGTCATAGAAATTGAAACTTGTTGGAGAGTCTCAGAGCACTTTTGGTGGCCCTCATTGAAGAAGTCAGTTCCTAAGTGGTGCAAGAGTTGTGAAGCGGGATCTCCACCGTCTGATGGAATTTTGTTATCCTACTGGTGAGTCAACTGTTTTTGGACGTGTGGCAATGGATTCAGTTCACATCAAATCTAGTGGTGCCAAGTATCTGATTGTTGCTCAGGAAAATTTCTCTGGTTGGGTTAAAGCCAAATTTCTCGATAATCTCAGTTCTGAATCAGTCACTTCATTCCTTCATGAAAATTGGACAATGTGGTATGGTCTAACTTGTTTGTATTCCACCAATGGAGGATCTGAATTTGAAGGAAAGCTAGCCAAGATGTTACGTTCAATTCCAGGTCAACACCAATTTTCAACTACATACTATCCAGAAGGTCCAGGAATGGTTGAGTGTGGCCATGGACCCCTTAAATCAGCTTTGGTCAAGCTTGCTGGCAAAATTGGAAAGAATTGTTGAATTTTTCTGCCTCTTGTTTTGTTTGCCGATCGTATTTCAACCAAACGGACCACAGGATATTTGCCCTATGAGCTTGTCTTTGGACAGCAAGCAGTTCTTCCAATTGATCTTTAAATGGAGTCCTATATTGGTATTGATTGGGAAGAATTAGAAGACATGGCCAACCTTTTAGCTGCACAATCTCAACAGCTGGAATGTAGTGAAGAAACCGGACGAGTTGCTTATCGGAAGACGATGAAGGCCCGTGAAGAGTCTGTCCAATGCTGGGAAGATAAGAAATCAGATCAAATCAGGAATCCTTTGAAACCAGGCGGACTAATTCTGGCTTATAACAGATCTCTCAAATCTCAGTGGGGAAAGCTTTTCTTCAATTGGTGGAATGGTCCTTATCATGTGGTTTGTCAAGTCAAAGGTGGATCATATGTCTTGGAGGAGTTAGATGGCACAGAACTTGCACGGCGCTTCTCAGTAGATCAGGTCAAGAGGTTTTTTCCCTGTGGAGGCAAAGTTGACCAAAAGTAAGTCCTCCCAATGTATGCATCTCCAGGGTTTTTACTACCATTTTGTAAAAACTCTACTTAATGCCACATTTGTGAGCACCTGGATGGGCCCCTGGTTGGTTTTTTTTTTAGGTTTTACTTTAGTTTTCAAGGGTAGGAGAAGAGAAGAACAGTCTAGGGACAGACTGCAAGTGGTGAGGAGATGTGGTGTTCTAAACGTTACAGGCCCCCTCAAGGTCAAATTTCAAATTTCAACTTACAACTTTTCAATATCCTCAAGCCTCAAGATTTCAATAATATCACCTCAAATCCCCTCTCAGTTCAACAGTTTTCTTCATTATATTATTTACTATGTTTTTGTTTCATTTGATTATTTTATCTTCATATTATTTTTAATTCATCTTGATTCTATTTTTATCTTATCATTTTACCATTCTTGATTATCTTTTTCAAATCACCTACTCAGCAGACAGTCTTGTTTAATTTTCTTGGTCCTAAGACATCTTAGTATGTTGGTTTATTTCACTCTTGATTATTTTGTTTTGTTTTGTCTTGTTTTGTGATTTCTGTTGTCCCCTCTCAGAAAACCAACCAACCCCAACGTGTTCTGTTCAGATCAAAGCTCACTCATCCAGACCCCACTTCAAGGCAGCCCTCAAAGCACTATCCCTTCAACCAACTGCCTACCACCTGGCACAATAGGAGTTCCACACAGGTCTAACTCAGCTCTACAGTAAACACTCTGAGCTCACCAACTCCGACTCACTCAACTCTACCCAGCTCACCCTATATATGTACTCAGCTCACCGGTGTAAGACTCAAAAGTGGTTGTGAGAACCCTTTTTGCTGAATGTTGAAGGGTATGGTGGAGTTGCAAGCTCTGCCCTTCTGTACTATCAGATAACAAGACCCACCAAGCTCAGCTTGGCAAGCTTTAATCAAGTGAGGTTTGAGAATAAGTTGTTTGATAGCAATTCAATTGTGTGAGAAAACAGGTTTGAGAGTATGAGAGTGAGTGTAGTGTGTATTACAAGTGCAAGTGTTGTTATAGGGTGTTATAAAGGTTGCTACAGTAGTTAATGTTGATGGTGTGGTATGTAATGGTAGGGGGTATGTGATTTGTGGGTACTAAACTGAGGGGAAAAACAACTGGGAGGAGTGCCTCCTTAAATAGACAACAATGAGGGATTTTGACTCCAAGGAAGCAAGAGAATGAGAGATTTGAGCTGTTCAAAGCTTGACAATGAGGTATTTTGGCTAGTTGTACAGCCTCCATGATGTCATTTGAGCTATTTTAGCTAGAAGAGGCAGTGCACATGAGGGATTTTTGCTAGCCTAGCAATCTGCATGATGTCATACAGACTGCATGAGGTATTATTATAAAACTAGACTGACAAGCTGCAGGAAGAATATCACATGACCTGTCAAGCTGTGCACATGAGCTGTACACATGAACTGACAAGCTGTGTAAGCTGTGCACCTATAAGAAGATTATGATGTCATCTGATTACCTGTGTCCTGTAGTGAATTATTTGTGTTAATTGTGTTGTGTAGTTGTCCTGTGTAGTTAATAGGGGGTATCAAATATAGGAAATCCACCATCAGAAACCAGTTACTTTTCCAAAAACCTTTTTTTGCATAAATGGGCCCCAAGAGGGGTTAAATGGATAACCAATATGTTTAAAAAAGGGTGGATTTTTTCAAACCAGTCAATTAAATAATGGTGTATTTGGCTTTATTTGATCCCCCTAATTGATTGTAATTGAGTGTTGTACATGCCCATAGGTGTGTAACATCCACACCAGTAGAGTTACATAGAAGCCTCCAGTGGTGACCAAGGGTGAAATTAACCGTAGAGTCCAGTTCTTGAGCTGTATGGTTTGGTTTCTGAGAGATTTTGGTAGATAATATGAAGATATTATATATGTATATAAGAAAAGGAATAAAAAAATTAATTCTTCACATTTTTGCCTACCACACCGGACTCCAACTCACTCAGCTCAACTCAGCTCAACCTGTACATGTACTCAGCTCACCTGACTCACTCAGCTCTACTCAGCTCACCCTGTACATTTACACAGCTCAACAGTCTCACTCAGCTCTAAATACAGATTTGAGACAAATGTTTATTACAATCTTGGATGGTTAAACCAGGAGAAAAAAATTACAAAAAATTAATACATTCTTATCCATGTTTTCAGATACAAGCACTTCTATGATGTCCGTAACAACATTGCTTCATTATTTCTTTTCATTTCTCTCTCAATAAACAAAAAAATTGATCAAGCTTATTAGTAATATCTATTTTAGGGCCTTAATAAAAAACCATAGTTTTTCCGCTTTTACACATGGTTTTGCAGCTGCGCAGCACACGCAGATTCCGCATTTGGACATGTTTTGAAATTAATTTTTAACACCTTATGTTTCATTATTTTTTTAAATGTTAAAGTTGTTTCCTGCACTGTAAAATGTGTCAAATTTAATGGTAAGATTCAATTTGAAAAAAAAAAATCAATGGTTCAGTTTTAATACTGCAATTAGACATTTTTTCAATTAGTTCTTTACATGTTTTCTCAATATTTTTGACATTTTAAATTTATTTCCCACAATTAGAAACATGTTAAAAATGATGGTAATAATCACTTTGCATGAAAATGAGAACTCTTTCTTGAATATTGCATTCAACATGGTTTTTTAACTAATTTTTACAGGCTTATTATTCATCATTTTTTGGAAATTTCCTACATAATGAGAGGCTTAAAATTTATGGTCTTATCCATTCTGCATAAAAATCAAAGTATTACTTCTAATATATGAGTTTACCCCACTTGTTGCATAATTTTTACCAGATGCAAAATACATTTCTATGTAAAATGGATAAGACCATACATTTTTAAACCTCTCAACAAAGACTTCAATCTAGACTGGTAAAGTTTTAAACCAAACTTTCAAAACCAAACTGGCAATTTACAAATCATTTTGAACTTATAACCATGATAATCTAAACAAAATAAAGAAAAATTCCAAACCATGAGCCTTGTTATATCTTTAGAGCTCAATTTTTGGGTGCCTGGGCTCAAGTTCTACATCCAAGCCCAATTTAACAGATCAATTCTGCTGTCAAGTGTTTTTTTTCTCGTCACTTATTTTTTTTATTATATTATTGTGATTGTTGTTATAAGAATCATTACTAGCATTGGTAGGAGGAAGAACTCTCCATAAGTACAACTAGAATTCTGAGAACAGGGAAGAGAAGAGTGGAGAAACAAGAGATGGAAGACTTACCTAGCATTGGTAGGAGGAAGAACTCTACCAAGCTAGGAAGGGGAAGGGGGAGTCAAGACTAAATACAAGGCAGAACTATGCTTATGTAATCTTGTGACAGGTTTGTGTAAGCCTGTGAGGAGCAGGGCTTACAGTCTCTCCTCCTATAAAAAAAAGGAAGAAAGGTGACACAGAGGGGAAAATGAGAAGGGTTCAGGTCATTGGAATCAGAATCAGGAAGGGGTTATGAGAAAAAGAAATTAGAGAGTAAGGCGGAGAGAATTGAGATTGAATAGAGAGAGGAGGAGGACGATATCAAACATAGAATAGAATAGGGTTGTCCGGAGTTGAAGTCGGGTCAGCCTTTTTCTTTTTCTTCTTTTTCTTCTTCTTCTTCATTTCAGTCCCTTCTGCTTCAAGTGTCTTGAGATAGTTGTCAATGTCATTGTAGTTTTTCAGTGCTGCTAGTGCTTGTGAAAGACTGGGGGGCCATAATTGGGGTTCCTTAGAAACTGTAGAATCCTCCACAACAGTGATGGACCCTATTGCAGCTATGTCAAGGTTGTCAGGGCAACCTTGAGCAGTTGGGTAGATTGCAATTGAGTTACAATTACTAGTGGATGATGAGGCGGGGGTTGAGTCCAAAAATTCAGGTAGGGATGAGGGAGTGGTTGTAAGCCATGGTGGTGTAACTAAACTGCTCAAGTTTGGAGAAGGCATGGGATGATGGTCGGTGGGAGCACAGTCTGAACTAAGGTGACAGGATGGAGGGGTGTGTGTCATTGTTTGATTGGTGGTCAGTGATGTTTGAGTTGTAGTAGTAGAGGCAGTGGGAGTGGTGAGATTCCCAGGTTTCTGGGTCTTGGGGGGAGTGAGATTGGCAAGGTCTTTTTTTCTTGTTGGACTGCTTCACCGCAGCGGAGGACAACATCACAGGTATTTTAGCGGCGAGGCTTGGCGGAGGCACATCGGACAGTGTGGACGTTGATGCGGGTTGTATCACACTTATAGTCAGGTACGGGGAGGGTGTGGGGAAGGCAGTCAGAGGATCCGGCTGTGTATTTGGAGGCGGTGTTGCTGGTTGCGAGGCAGTCTTGGGCTGCGGTAGAGGGGGTGGAGGAGGAATGGTTGAGCTGTCCATTCGTGAATTGACCAACAAAGTGGAGGAAGGATCTGACTGACTAGCGGTCAACGTTGGATGGAGGACGGTTGTAGTATCGGCCAACAAGGTGGACGCGAGATCTAGTCGCTTAGAGGTCAACGGTTTTGGGCCGGGTAGCAAGGCTGATTTGATTGTCCAACAATCAATGAGTGGGACAAACGGTCCATTTGGCTAGCGGCTGGAGGCGACGCCGGCGACAACGACCTCTTTGAGCATGGAGATGGCCTTTGGGGGTGACAATCAGTGTAGGAGCGTGGCGATGTCCTTGAAGGGGCCTTTGCCGTTGATTGATACGGTTTGGAAGCAGGTAGTGAGGAGGGCCAACAAGTTGGAGGGGTTTTGTGGAAGTTGTTGGAGGGAGCCTTGAGGATAGGAAGTTGAGTAGGTGAGAGCACAGAGAACATGCGGTTGCCAGACTGGGTGATTGCAAGTGACTTTGCGTTGCCTTGGATAACAAGGGGATAAGACCTCGATCTGCCGAGTATCTGAAGGAGTTGGCCAGGGGGGCCGAGGAGACAAGGGGTGGATGAGATGGGTTTGTTCTAGCTAATAAAAGGTGTATGACCTCTTCCAACTGTTGGATACATGTCTCATAG